AGATTTTCTCCCAAGTAGCAGTTAAGTGAGAGATGAATCAGGTAATATAGTTGAGTCAACCTAAGAAACCTCTGACCTCCTTCTTAGTACAGGGAGCTGGCATTTCTTGTATGGCTTTGACTTTTGCAGGATCGACTTTAATACCTTTCCCGCTGACGACAAATCCTAGGAGTTTTCCAGACCTCACCCCAAAGATGCATTTGTTTGGATTCAGCCTTAGCTTGTATTTCTTCAGCCTTTCAAATAGCTTGTGCAAGTGATCAAGGTGTTCTTCCTCAGTTTGCGATCTTGGAATCATGTCATCAACATAGACTTATATCTCATGATGAATCATATCATGAAATAGAGCTACCATAGTCGTTGATAAGTTGCACCTACATTATTCAAACCAAAAGGCATGACCTTATAACAGAAGGTGCCCCACTGTGTGACGAAAGTGGTTTTCTCCATGTCTTCAGGCGCCATTTTGATCTGGTTGTAACCGGAGAAGCCATCCATGAAGGAGAACACTTTATGTTGAGTCGTATTGTCAACCAAGACGTTAATATGTGGTAGTGGGAAATCATCTTTGGGGCTTGCCCTATTCAAATCCCTATAGCATACACACATACAGACCTTTCCGTCTTTCTTCGACACTGAGACCATATTTGCGACCCAATGGGGATATGATGTCACTGCCAAAAAACCTACATTGAGTTGTTTCATTACCTCAACCTTGATTTTCTCAGACATGTCTGGCCTCATGAGACAAACCTTTTGTTTGATCGGAGTACAACCTTCCTTCATCGGAAAACGGTGAACCACAATTTCATTATCAAGTCCTGACATATCTTTATATAACCAAGAAAATACCTCAACGTAGTTGTGAAACATCTGAACCAATCTGCTCTTGACACTGTCTTCTAGGTTAGCGCCAATCTTGACTTCTTTTTTATCTTCCTCGGTACCTAGGTTTATCACTTTAACAAGTTCTTCGTGCAGTTGAATGGCCTTTTACTCTTGGCTCAAGAGTCTGGAGAGTTCCCTAGGTATCTCACAATCTTCTTCACCTTCGTCGTCGTCTTGATAGATTGAATTTTCGAAGTCATAGATGGCAATAGCAGAATTGTTGTTAATGAGATCCGGAGTGGATGTAGATCTGCAAATATGTGTGTGTGCATGTAAAGTCACACGGCTATTTTGAAAATGCAGTAAAGTAAAGAAAGATAAGGAGCGCAAAAAATTGAATGCAAAATAGTCCAATGTTTATCATTAAAATGAGCATATGGCATATGAAAATGAAAAACCCTTAACAAATGGACCATTGTGCCCCGGACAAGGCACATGGTTTAAAGTCATTGTTTTAATGGAAATTACATAAAAATTTCTCAAAGTAATAAAAACAGGAAATGGCAATTACTCCTGGCTGAAAGAGATTGAGATGAAGTCCTTGGTCTGCTAGTTGTTGAGTCCTCCATCAGCAGTTGGGTAGATCCAGTCGTCCCAGTCACCGTCATTGTTAGAGTCTCCAAGAGCAATAACTTCATTGTTTCTAATACGGAGAAGAGGTTTTCCAACACGAGCACACCAAACCTCTTTTTGAGCCTTGGAAGTGAAACCTAAACCAAACTTTTCTAACTTGTATGGGATATCAGGAAGTTGTCCCCAAATGGTGCAACCTCTACCTTCAATTACAGCACGAGCATATTTGAGAGAGATCATCCTTGGTGTATCTTTAGCAGCTTTTGGAGTGTCAAGAGTGGCTTTAGCAACAACAACCATTAGAGAGATCAATTCGAATGATTGACAAGGGGTCTTGATGAACTCGTCATCCATTTCAACATACTTGAATGAATTCAGATGACTGATCATAAACTCGTCTTCCCCACAGACGGTGATAATTTTCCCTTTGACCGGGTATTTCAGCTTTTGGTGTAATATGGAGGTAATCGCACATGTCCCATGTATCCATGGGCATCCAAGTAAACAAGAGTAAGCCAGATGGATATCCATCACATAGAATGTTGAGTTGAAGACTTGTGACCCAACCTTGACAGGAAGATCAACTTCTCCATGGACCATCCTTTTCGACCCATCAAAAGCTCTCACAACTATGTCACTTGGTTTTAGTACCAACCCTTCACAGTCCAATCTGTCCAGAGCCCCTTTGGGTAAAACATTGAGAGAGAATCCAGTATCCACTAACACATGTGCTAAAGTGGTGCCCCTACACTCGATGGAAATCTGTAGAGATTTATTGTAATTTTTCCCCGCCGGGATCAAATCTGCATCTGAAAATCCCAAACCATTGTCCGTAGTCAGACTTGCTACACAATTTTCAAATTGGTCGGCCATGGTTTCTTGTGGAACATGTGCATTTTTCAAGAATTTTAACAGGGCTTGGGCATGCGCCTCAGAACATAACGAAAAAGATTGCATGGATATCTTTGAAGGTGTTTTCCCCAGTTGTTCCACTATCTTGTAGTCGCTTTTTCGAACAATTTTTAAAATCTCATCCATCTCTTTGGTAGATGGGTCCTTAATGGTAACATCTTTTACGGGTGCCTCTGTCTGGGCAGGCTCAGCCATTTTTTCCTTTCATTGAGTATCAACAACAGGTTTAACAGTGGTAATACGAATGGGTGTAGTAGTGGTTGTTGTAATAAAAAATTTTCCCTCTCATTTTACTCAATACTACGCCAAATAAGCTATTTAATAGCGCTTTTTTTTGTTTTTGATAGCGCTTGAAAGTGCTATTAACCGCGCCACTATTGTAAATATTTCTTATTTAATAGCACTTTAAAAGCGCTATTAAAGTACCAATTTATAATAGCGTTTTAATTAAAGTGCTATCAAAGTCAGTATTTTGCATGTTTTTTGTTTGTTTTTTTATAGCACTCTAAACAAAAAGCGCTAATATATAACATATGTTTGATAGCGCTTTCAAATAAAGTGCTAATAAATGGTACATATTTGGTACAATATTTTTAATAAGTACAGTACAATATTTTTTCTTACACAATCATTTTTTTTTGTGTAAATATAAAATAACTATATTCAATTCAACACAAATAACGCTTTAAGTTACTCATTGCATATATATTATGATCCATCAAATACCAAATAACATTTTAAATTATCAAATCCTATTGTTTCCAAATATCATAACATATAGAATATTAAGAGGGCGTTTGCATAGCCAAATTTGTAGATGCCCATCTATGAGTACTTCAATCCAAATCCAAAAATATACAATCAAATTCTCTAAACAAAACACCAAAAAAATAAGAAAGGATAACAAAACAATCCCATGTAGTAACCACCTTCATGATCCAAAAGCGTTGAACTCATAGATACAATCACTAATTAGGCAAAATAATTGCTTCTTGTTTTCCTGTATCATAGAAGGAATATTGATTATGTATTGTACAATAAAAACTAATTCAACATATAAAGAATAATCAAACATTTAATATGGGTCTAACAAGAAGCGCATAAAATAAGGAATGATTATTATAAACTAATAACAATAAATCGATATAACTAATGCAATAATTGAACTAATTAAGTCTAACAAGAACATGACTTGTAAATATATAGACCACAATTTCCATTATTAGATGCATATAAACACTAAACAGAATATAATTCAAATTCTCAAAATATACATAAACACTTAATCGTGTGTAACTTTCTTTTCATGATCCAGAACTAGATATCAAACACCTTACAATTGTTACTACGAATATCTAAAAATTTCAAGTAGAAACGGAAAACTATAAATCAATCATACAATAAGATATAAGTCATTTTTCCGTATTTTCCTATTTCAAAATTTAAATTCGAGACCAAGAAAGAACACTCAGTACCTCTGTGCCATATCTTCTAAACCAATAAAATACTAAAATCATTTATACGACAACTCTAAATCCAACTCATTTGAATGCAATATTTTGAAATAAGAGATTTGAGATATTTGAAAATGTATTTGAATAAAACTGCGTGTTTAAATAACACTATAGAGATGGTATTATATAGTGAAAGTTACAACTTATTAATTTAATTATATAAGAAATATGATACGGTACTTTCTATTCTAGATAAGGATAAGAAATATTCTATATACAAATTTTAATTCTTAACAGAAATATTCAGTCCTTGGTTGGTGATTACCCCCAAATTTCAAAGATTAAAGAAATAACATTCAGAACCACCTACTACTATACCTACATTTTCTTTGCAAGCAGTATATAAAAAACAAAAATATAGCCGACATAATTGAAAAGAGTTGTATCTGTCCACACTACATTAGAAAAATACTGCCATGTAGACTAAACTATTCATTAGTCAACTTAATTGGATTGCTAAAAAAATATTCTTGCAAAAGCAATGCACTTTACATGAACTTAATTGATTGCTAAAAAATATTCTTGCAAAAGCTAATCTGATTGATGAAAACATTGAAATGATATGGCAGAAACTGCAGTATCATTTGTTTTACAAGAACTAGGCCAATTTGTAATAAAAGAAACTAGCCAATATACAGTAGAAGAAAGAAATTCAGTAGCAGGGATTGAAAGAGACTTCAATGATATCAAAGATGAACTTGAGAGCATCCAAGCCTTCCTCAAGGATGCAGACACAAAGGCTGCTGATGATGATGATGGATCCAATGGAGTCAAAACTTGGGTGAAGCAGGTGAGAGAAGCGTCTTTTCGCATAGAAGATGTGATTGATTACTACAACATGTTTTTGGCAGAGAGGGCCAGTCATTCTATATTCAGATCTGCACTCCAAATGATTCCTGGTTTGATCAAAACCATGAATCCGCATCACCAGATTGCTTCTGAGATTCAAGACATCAAGTTATCACTTTGATTGTTGTGGTTGGCATGGGAGGACTCGGGAAAACTACTCTCGTAAAGCATGTTTTTGATAGCCAGCTAGTGAAAAAGAACTTTGATTGTAGATCTTTCATCACTGTTTCGCAATCGTACACTATCAGAGAGCTGTTGACAGAAATGATAAAGAAATTTTGCAAGGACAGCAACGAGCCTATTCCAAGGGGTCTGCAGAATATGGATGATGAAACTTTGATTAATCAAGTGAGACAATACCTTGAGTCAAAAAGGTACTTGGTTTTATTTGATGATGTCTGGAAAGATAATTTTTCTGATGGGATTGAACATGCCTTAATTAGTAATAACAAAGGAAGTAGAATCATTGTGACTACTAGAAAAATGCTTGTAGCTGATTATTTTAGGAAATCTTTTCCTGTTCATGTCCATGAGCTACAACGTTTGCCTCCAGACAAAGCATGGGAGCTGTTTTGCAACAAGACGTTTAGAGGGCACTGTCCAACAGAACTTGAGGAGATGTCCAGAGAAATTGTTCAAAAATGTGGAGGGCTACCATTAGCTATTGTGGCCATCGGTGGTCTTTTGTTAACAAAAGCTAAAACCCTCATTACAGCTACTCAAAATCACGAATATCCGTCAACACAAAGACATCATAACGCTCACAAACAACACAGAGAATCAACGGATAGCAGGAACTGAAAAAAGAAATATTACCGGATACAAATGAAGAGAGGGATGACGACGACGTAGGTGAGATGACAAAGGGTTGAGTTCGACGGAGAATGAGATTTTGAGAAATGGCAACTATTATTATAAGAAAACAAATTATAATGCACACATCTTGAGAGATAAATGTTAGTTCTCTCTTTTCTTTCTAGACAGTGATACTTCTTCTTCTTACTCTCTCTCACAAAAGACCACAACTTGCAGAACAATAACCATGGTTTTTTCTATCTCTCATCCATTTCAACCCCAAAACAAAATCAATCTTTCTCTTAAAATAAGAACAACAACAAAATAGAAATCCAAGATTCAAATCAAGCATTTAAGTTCTCCAACAACAATGACAACAAATCGAGAAAATAGAGGAAAAAAATTGCTTACCTGCAAGCAAAACCGAGAGTGGCTGGAGATGGAGGTCGGAGTCGAACGCCCAGTGGTGGCTGTCGGTGATGCTACAGGGGGCCGGAGTGCGTCGTTATTATGCTGTTGCAGAAGCAGTTGAGTTGTCGCTCGCGGTCGCCGGCGTGTCGTCGGAGGCCAGTCAAGTAATGGATTTGGAATGACTTTTCTCCTTCCTGTGTTTTTTTATTTTGTTTCGGTTTCTAATTGAAATAACTTTCTGAAAATGTGTTTTGTTTTTTTTTTATCAATTAATTAATTAATTCATTATTATATATAACATAGCGCTTTTTAATAAATGCTATTATATAGGTAGTCAAATAATAGCGTTTTATACAAAATGTTATCTTAAAGAAGTTTAATAATAGCGTTCTGGTACAAAGTGCTATCATAATTACATAGTCTGTATTATATAATAGCGCCCGATTAAAAAGTGCTATTATAAATGTGTTTTTTCCATTTTAATAGCATTTTTTTTAAAAGTGCTATTAAATTAGGTGATACAAATTAGGTGTACATACTCCCAGAGATCCTCAATTTACTCAAGATTGCCCAAGAGTTGACCAGAAAAACTCTCTTCGAAGACAGTGTACCTCAAATTAGGGTTTCCCTTTTCATCAAGATGTGTGAATCAAAAAGGACTCAAATGCTTCCCAAGGTCCTGATATGTTCCCAATATCATCCATGTCAAGTTTCATGCCTTGCACAAAGAAGTTTGCTCAGTCAACTACTCAAATGCTTGAGAATCGACTGTATTAGGTCAATAGTCAATTGTTGCCCACATACAGTCAAACCTCAAGATTTTTGGTCAAAATCAAAATTTTGAAGTGACTACCATCATTTGATCAAGGGTTGATCATGATTCCTCAAGGAATGCTCCAAATTCATCAAAACCCAAAAGTTGCTAAATTAGAGTTTTGTAGGAAAAGTCAACCCAACTTTGACCAAGCATAACTTCTTCATAATTTATCAGAAATTTTACATCCAAGGCTCATTTTGAAGAGGATGAAATTCCCTACAATTCATCTTCATCCCACAAGTTCAAAATATACACTCATAAAAATTTATGAATTTTTACATTATAGGTCCTTTTGAAAAGTCAACAAAAACACCTTTTGGGTCAAAGCTTCATACATGAACATGGAATATCCAATTGAGATGAAACCAAAAGGTTTGTTTAGGGGACATCCTAATATTTCTAAAAATTCAAATAACACCCTCCTAGAGTCAAAATTGAGAGAGTTGTGCATTGTCAAAGTTGGCAATTTTTGGAAAATTGTCAAAAGTCAACATTGATCAAATTTGCATTTTTTCCAAAGGGGCCCATGATTTCTTGTTTGAAACATGTTTCTAATAGGACCCACGACCCATGAGCTTTTCCACGTATTATTTTATTATTTTTATAATTTATTTTTATTTTTTATTCATTTAAATCAAAATAAATCAAATTAAATGATAAAATAATAAAAGCAAATCAAATCTTGGGATGTTTGTGCACATTTGGAGTCTATGTACAGCTAGCATGATGATCAATTTGTGCAAGACTCATTAGGATTGGAAAAGATTGGATTGAAGCTTGTTTTGGAAAGATATCATACATGAATCAAATCAAATCACATTTTCATAATTCTCAAAGATATGATGCAATTTTATTGACCTAATATGCTCTACTATATGTATACAACAATTCCAAATCCTAAACACAAGGTTTGCAGCCGTGAAAAGCCACGAAGAAAACTCAAAAATTTGGACAAAAGTGTGAATCGGTTTTCAATCTACAAGGCGTTTCAAAGCATTTCAAGACCACCAATCCCTTCCTTGACGTTCCCAGAAGCTATTCCCATCGTCTCCAAGGCCTGAAACGTTCAAAATCGTAAGCTATAAGACTCGTTTTGTCCAACTGTTTTTGGTTTTTGATTTCATATATGCATGCATTTTCAGTGAGAATTAACCCTACATTCTTGTTTTTCATAAGGATTCGAAGCCCTCTATGTAATTTAATTGAATTTTTAGTGCAGGAAAGCTAAGATGCCATGATTAGGGTTCCAAACTTAGTTTTGCGATTTCTTAGTACAAGCCAAATTAGGAACGGATATGGGTACCATGATGATCAGGGCTTCAAGCCCAGTTGATTCATGGCCTCCAATGAAATTTATATCGCGTTTGCTGCATTTTTGAAGGTGACAGGGTTTTAGCTATGGAGTCCTGTCTGTAGGCAAAAGTATTCAGCCTAATACGACGGACAGGGAAGAAGATGATGCATGGCAAAGCACCACTGGCTGGTTTGAATTTATGCGCGTGTTCTTGAAATTGATGTTGTTTTTCAATATATTTTATTTTTGTTATTGATATTAACAAATGAAACAATGGCCCAGTGGTACAAGGTGACGTTTCCCAGGAGCGTGTGCAGGAGGTCAAGGGTTCGAGCCCTGCCTCCTGCATTTTGTTTATTTCTTACAATTCTCTTGCAGATCTTGTGCGCGTCACTTTCCAGCGTCTACCATGCGCCTCCAATAATCAACCAGTAGATCCATCAGGCAGCCAGATGTACACTCAACTTTGAGAGACCATGGTGCGCCTTCAAGTCAATGCCACACCTAATCCAGCGTGGTGAACCCGGGCTTAGCTTGTTGGGCCTGAAAAATTCAGATTCTCACCCCCTTTCAGCAAGTCAACACAGGCCCATTTGGTTACTTTTTTTAATTTCTTTTCTCTAGTTATTTTCTTTTTCTCTTTTAATCACCACAAAAAATATTTTTTTAAATTAACAAATCAAAATCACAAAAAATATTTTTTTAAAATATTTTTAATTAATTAGTTTAATTAATTTAGGGTAATTTAATCTTTTTTTATATGATTAAAAATAATTAAACTTAGGATTTTATTTGTACATAACTTAGCTAATTTTCCTCAAAAATACACCAAAATCATTTTTCTCATAAATATTTATTTCTTTAATTTAATTAGTAAATTAGGTTAATTTAATTTCTTTCATAATTAAAGATAGTTAGAAATTAGGGTTTAATTAATTCGTAATTAAATTGTGTTCTTCTCAAATAAATCCATAAAAAATATATTCTCCTTCAATTAGGGTTTTAGGTTATCTATCCACGTATTTAATTCGTCGCGCGTTTAACTATTTCTTTTTCATTATTATGTAACTGCTTATTGATTTGTAATAGTTTAAACTAGGGTTTTTATTTATCGCTTTTCCCCGATTTTTGGTTATGTAATTAATCCCCCACCCCGAAGCCTTGTAATAGTTAGGTTTATTTTTCTCGTACTTTTAATTTCCGCAATCTTTAACTGTTAGATGTATGATAATATGATTGTATGGAAAGATGCTTGGAAAAAATTAAAACGGTAGATAACCCTATTTGTGAAAAGATAACATTAACTGAAATCAAACACTTGCACATACTCACTCCTAGGCTTTTCCTCACTTCGGTCGCCTTCGGTAAACAGTCATTAAGCATAGGAAATTTTAGTGGTCACCCTCCTGTATAAAAGATCAACTGTCCCGTTCGAATGTTGCCTCAGAAATGTTGCCTCGAAAGGATCTTTAAGACTTTAGGGTTACTACTAAAGGTTCCAACTTGTTGCTTTAATGATTGTACACGTCCCTTTCGAATGTCCCTTACAAACTCCAACGACGGTGCTACCTACTCCTTAATAGTAGGATAGCGTTGTCTAAAGGAAATGAGAACAAATAATCTTTTTTCGAGTAAGTAGAATCTTAAGTACTTGGTCAATAAAAAACTTTTCACACAAACACCTTTCAAAACAAATTTTCAAAACAACTTCCTCACATCCTTGAGGACTGATACAAGGGTTATCACGAAGTAAAACATTTTCAAGACAAGCACACACAAGCAATTTGAAAAAATGAGCAAGTACCTAAGAGCCCATGGAAAACCATGGATAGAAAGGGTGCTAACACCTTCCCTTTCTATAATCTACCCCCCGTACTCAGAATATCTCGAAAAAGATTTTTTCTGTTCTTTTTCCTTTTCCTGATTGGATAAAATAAAAGTCGGTGGCGACTCTTGCTTACCGCGACATTTTGCAAACAAAAAACGCAAAACGCAAACCTGTATTAAACAATAGGTTCTCCCACCGTATCATAGAACTTGCGACTCTGCTGGGGATTTATAAGTGGGGTATACCTTAGGATCTAGGTCATTAAAATTGTTTCTCTTAATTGTCTTGATTGCTTTACTTTTGAGGGTTTGTTTGGGGATACTATAGATCCTACACCCGAATCTGAGGGAACTCATTAGGTAAACAACAATAGATCATGGAGATTGTACGGCATAGACCGATATGGTTTAAGCGATGGCTGTGTTGGTGTGGCACTTTGGTTGGTACCGGTATCCTTTATGGGGAAACGAGGAGAATACGGGGCAGCCGCGTGGTGTCGTGAAGCACTAACGGACCTTAGAACATTAGTTTAACAAACTTGGCCATTAGAAAGTAGTGAGATAGCCGGCCTCGGTGTAGAGCTGAGGATTGGTTAATACTCGACTCTACACTCATTGAGATCAGACTTTCGGGATATTTTGGCCGCAAGAAAAGAT